TTTACCATGAACAAACGAATGATGTAAAAATTATGCGATTACCATGAGCAAACATGTGGTCTCCACAAAAATTATGAGATTACTATAAACAAACATGGTCTTTACAAAAATTATACGATTACCACAAACAAACGTATTTTTTAGTTTAAAACTGTATTGAATTGTAATGTATATATATATGTAGAAATTACTATAAGTTTAAACAGAAAGTTATTGCTTTTTTGTTTCTCCATTATGCCTAATAAATGTCATGTAATTGACTTACCTTATTTATTAACTTTAACCAATCATGGGTTACAAGTTGTTTCTTTTAATCAGTTGTTTCAGTAGTTTTTACATCATAGCCAATAATGGTAAATATTTAAACAAATAAAAGTTTTTATTTAGATTTTTTTATCATATTATATTTAGGGCATGCAAACCGGTTACTCGGTTAACCGAAACAAAAACCGAGTAACCATAAATCGTAAATCCGGGCTTTTCGGGATTTTCGGATTTTGTCTTATAACTACGAAAACTTAAATTCGTAACTCATCATATCATCGTATCTTGATAAAAGGAAAAATTTTAACTCTTCCGTCTATATACATTTTGGAAACTGCCATGTTTGTAAGACAACATTAGGATCTTTTTGAATTCGTAGAAAGCACACGTCGAAACGCAAAGCTCGTATTACCAACTTCAAGATTGGAAATGTTTAGAGATATAGATGCATACTAATTTATAACAAAATACCAGACATCCTCAAGAAAGTAGATAGTGACAACGTGTTTAAAACCAAGTTGAGGTCTCTCTTGTTAAGTAAATGTTATTACAATGTGGGAGACTTCATGAACTCTCCTATAAGCTAAAAGAGTCCAGCTTCAGATAAGTAATTTTAAGTCTATGTAATACTATGATCTAAAGTTTATTAATGATAATTTTAAGATCCTATATGTATTAGTTCCTAAATGTTATTATTATTATTTTTTTGCTATTATTTTTATTTTTACAATTTTAATATTACGTTTCATAATAATTAATTGCTGCACCCAAAAGGCGTATGTATGTACTTATTACCCATGTAATTTTTGTACCTACATTGTTTGCAAATAAATAAATAAATAAATAAATAAATGCTAAGTAAATGCTAGGAGCTCAGGTAAGTGCAGCGATAGCATGCACAAGATGAGTGCAGGTAACCTTTGGGAAGCGAGTGGCGAGTTAGGAGGAATATGCTCTAATTATGTATATGATTTGTTTTTTTTTTTACTATAATTCTAGAAGTTGATTGATCTCACTGAAGCTGTGAATTCCATATATATTGAAAATAGTGTACATACAAAGTACACTGAGCGCCCGGTTATACGAGGTTTTACTAGGCAATAACATTTAAATTCATTTTCCGACTACGTTACCTAGAATGTCTTGAACAAATTGGTTGCACATTTTCTTCCATTTTCAAAGGATTAAATAGAAGAAACAATAAAACTTTCAATCGTAATCTCCGTACAAAAAGTTACAACCGCCATATTGAATCTATGAAGTAAAACCGCGCTGTGGTTGGTTGAAATGGACAATATCATTTTTGTTTCTGACCCAATCATGGACATTGTCAAGTTTGCGCCTTACACCTATGTTTCGGAGCGATTTTCGAAGAATCCATACGTCTCTGCAATTACCTGAAATTTTCGCCTTGAAGCAATAGACAAAACAAACAAAATGACAATCGTACTTATAAAACGTAAATTTTGCATAGAGACGGTTTTGCTTTTATACACCTCATATTATTGTTCTGTGAATAATAAAAACACTTAAGAGGGAGCATGCCTAAAAAGTTTTGACGTTGACTCCGCCCAAATTTGTGAAACAAATATATGCCTGAAGTTCGCGTGTCATGCGACAGGAGATGTTGAATTTTGCGCATTAAAAGTACCAAATTCGTTTTAACGGAATAACTCTAAAACTAAAGGGATTAAAAAAAATCCGTAGTAACAGTTCTCGATCATGCATATATATAATTAATTATCTAATTTTTGTCCTAATAACCTGTAGCATTTCGAGGATGAATCGAGAAATGTGAAAATTAGAGGTCATTTCGTGATTTTTATCTATCGAGGAAACTTTATTATTTTATGTTTCTGATTAGTGTCTATGCTTGAATATATCGTGTAGTTACTCATACAATATTTCATTTTTAACTTTAACGTGGATATACCCCTCTAAAATCAAATCGAAGATTAGGAATTTTTCCTCTGCTCCCTCTTAAGAGAATATATAATTTTTTGTGTCTCAAACAATTTGTTTTGTTTTCAGGAGCGAAAATAGGTATAGTTGGTCCACTATTATATACTTATATTTATACTGAAGGGTTTAATCAACATAGCAGTAACTCTTCTTGTGAAAGAGTTCGACAAGGGAAGTCACACATACTGCGTTCCTGCTTTGAAGGCTAAGGGTGCTGGTGGAACAACATGCAAATGGGACTGATCATTTTTATGTCTCAGGGTGACAAGCACATGTCCCAAGCCCTGAGAGGTAACGCAACTGCTATGGACAGGCGTGTCGCTTAACACCAAGCGCATGACTTGTTCGTTCTGTTAGGGCGCGTTCCCATTATCTCGTGACGACAGATAGTCGTGCAGTTTAAAGTGTCGTGGCTTGTATATTTAAATGAAGTTGTTCACATCAACAATTTCTTATCTCTAAATTCAGGGATGAGCACATAACACGCGGGATAAGCTCGATAAAATTCGTGTCGAATAAAAGCTCCTTACGCTCTGAGCGATGCTTAGGTATTTACGCGCTGAACAGGCGGGAGATAAGTGCCAACAACATTTTACTAAACTATTCTTTTTTTTGTCATGAATAAATCTACCACCACGGGCAGGAACTACAACCACTACCACTGCAAAACCTGCGCCCACTACTCCTCCCTCTCGTGGTAAGTAGAACCCTGGTCCAATAACTCAAGTGGTCTGCTAATCACGATACAATACAGCGTAGTTGGGTATATAGTACCCATTGGTACGTGATTTAATGTTGTCACTCACGCATGTCGCGCAACCGTAGTTTTTTTTAAAATTTTGTTGTTCCCATTTTGTGGTCCCATTTAAATTTGAAGAAAATATTTCACCTCTAAGGAAGCCAAACTAAGCATGTCGCGAACAAATGGCAAACGCCCGGTCGGACGGGACTGGCACTGGTGTGGGACGCCACGTGTGCCGACACACTTGCCCCATCTCATCTCCAGCACACCAGCAAGAGGGCTGGCTCCGCAGCTGAGCTGGCGGGAAGAATAAAAAGTAATAAGTACCAGGATCTCGGCTCCGACTATCTATTTACAGCCTTTGGAGTCGAAACCCTTGGTCGATGTCCTAGTACCCTTCATCTGTACAAAATTTTATTGAAAAAATTAATATACTATCTAGGAAACCCGAGAGCCGGCAGCTACCTTGCCCAACGCATTAGCATAGCAATACAAAAGGGGGAACGCTGCCAAAATCTTGGGCACCTTGCCGCGGGGACCCAATTTTATTCATAATATAATATAATTTAAAAATCTAGTTTTTTATCTTACCTGTATATTATCTTAATTAAAAAACTAGGCGATGAATGACTTTTGAGGTCAGTTTTTTTAGTACTCTGTACTGTGATTATTAAAATTGTAATTAAAAAAAAACTGAACAGCCAAACTGAAAACTAATTTTAATTAATAGTCATAGTGTGAAATTTGTTTGCGTCGTCCTGGTCGATTTATAAATAAATTTTAGTTTTTAAAGCTTGATTTAATAGTTAGTCATTAGTAAGTGTTTCTGTAGATTATTGAGTGTTTTTATTGCCTTTTTCATAATATTTTATATAAAAATTATGCCTTTGGTTAAATTATCCTGATTTCGGTGGTAGCTGAATTCAGTGGATCAAATATGTCATTAACTGTTAAGAATCTAGTTGCCCAAATAACGGAATCTTATGTAAGTTTGAGTACGTTTTCCTTCCCGCTCAGTGTTTTTCCTGAAATTAAGAAAAAAATTTTGACCACCGAAATCAGAGAATTTAGAGAAATGCCCATTTCTATTTCCAATTATGTTTTAAATAAAAAACTACTATCTTGCATTCCATTCTCATCTTCTGATGAGATACAATACAAAAATAATTTCTAAATCGGTTGTCTTTTTTTTTAGACAAGTGCCTACGAGGTTTGTTTATTATTTGTCTGTCAACAAATTTTGTGAATATGATTTTTTTTAGGTCGCACGCCAAGACTTCAACCGGAAAGGCCGTGAGTTTTATTTATGTATTCGTTCTATGGAACTGATAGCATTCAACTTAACTGTAGGAGAAGAGCTCCTGGTGAAAGAGTTCATCCAGAGAAGTAAGAGTAAATACGAGTTTTTCTTTTTTTGTTGGCAAGGACCCTCAGAAGTGGTTCCATTCAATATAAAGAAAATAGTCTACCTCTAAACGTGGTTACACACGGCGATTTAGCAGCGATGCAAACGCGCGTGAAAAGGTTGTGTGATCCTTCACGGCAATAAAATAGGATACTTCGGTCCACAAACATTTATTTGTTAGTTTAAGGTCGAGGCCAGACGAGCGTAATTTTGCGTTATAAGTTGCGTTTTTTGAGTTGCGCAGCTGGCGCTCGCAGTGAGCGCCTGACGAACGTCTTTTTATTCAATTGCTTTCAAGCGTTTACATCAAAGTGACCCCTTCCCTCACCCCTACCTCCAACCGCGTCAGCCCGTCGCATTTATGTATGAAACCGAATGCAACGCAAACTAAGCAAAATTACGCTCGTCTGGCCTCATACTAAAGGAAAAGAAAGCTCCGAAAGGAATTATACTGAATTACAGATTGGTATTAACATTGAAATTGGCACATGATTTAGATTGAGAACTGGTAAAAGGGTTAAAATTAGACGCAATTAAGAGGGAGCAGAGGAAAAATTCCTAATCTTCGATTTGATTTTAGAGGGGTATATCCACTTTAAAGTTAAAAATAAAATATTGTATGAGTACTACACGATATATTCAAGCATAGACACTAATCAGAAACATAAAACAATAAAGTTTCCTCGATAGCTAAAAATCACGAAATGACCTCTAATTTTCACATATATTCGATTTATCCTCGAAATGCTACAGGTTATTAGGACAAAAATTAGATAATTAATTACACTTATGCATGATCGACAAGTGTCACTACGGATTTTTTTTTAATCCCTTTACTTTTAGAGTTATTCCGCTAAAACGAATTTGGTACTTTTAATGCGCAAAATTCAACATCTCCTGTCGCATGTCACGCGAACTTCAGGCATACATATATTTGTTCCACAAATTTGGGCGGAGCCAACATCAAAACTTTTTTGGCATGCTCCCTCTTACTAGAACTACAGCTGAACTGCCTACCGCGATTGAGCTGGGAGTGACAACGGAACGAAACAAAAAGAACGATTCAAAATTTGAAAACAAGAAAAGGTGACAAAAAGGTGGGATGGCGATGTAAGGAGGTCACATCGTCACACGCGTTCGTGAAACGCGCGACTGCATCGCTACACTTACGATTTATAGGCGCAATGGCATCGATACAAACGTTTGTAGCTAAATCTCAAGTATAGCAATGCAATCGCGCGCTCGCATCGCGTACGCATCGTTAAAAATCGCCATTTGTAACCGCTCTAAAGGTGACAAATTAGGGGATGAATCCTGTTTATTGATTTTCACCCTTTTTCCTTTTTCGAAGTCGGTTAATAACCCGTTAATTTTGGTCATCATCATCATCAACTCTTTATATCACTGGTCCTACTTTACGCGGCCGTTTGTTTGCCTGTACGCATAAGTAGGAAATTAGCGCTTAACGAACATTCAGTCAATTGAGACATTTAACAACTTAACTACAACCTAAAAGGTAAACAACCTCATGGAGTTTGTATCTTTACCAATAAACCTTTTACAACTTAACTTATCTATCTATTTAAACAATTAGACGTCAATATTTATAGCGTACTACTGGCCCTACACATGGATTGGACATTTTATACATTTATTGGGCGTAGTTGCTCGATCGATTAGTAATTTGTATTGATTTTGCAGCGCCCCTGCAGGGTGTCACATGGGTGGCTACTGCATTATATTTTTATAACACCTGTGTGAAACCGCGTGGCAAGCAATAAAGGTATGAATAGGAAAATAAATTCATTTAAATGTTATTTTATTTTCAGTATGGCCAACCGATATGTAAACGTAGCCAATGTCAACGATCGCAAAAAGAGTATGTATAATTAATTTGTTTATTACTAACTCGAGTAGCCCATTGTACTATACTAATTGCAATAGTTTTATTGGTTCTCCATACAAAATTTCGTCCGCTATTTCACCCCATTGCATTTTTGTAACAAACAGTAGGCTGTCCTTCTCCTAGTTCCATTTATCTGTACCAGTAGCGAGGCGTCCATATAACTCGATTTTCACCGGCTTGCCTAAAATATTTTTACGTTTTGTGCTAAATTTTACGTGTAGAATAAGTTAACCAGTGAAATGAAGTATACTTGTACCTTGTGTGCCAAATAAGTTGTGTTCAAGTGTCGACAAGGCGTCACTTTTTCTTAAGGGAAGTGTTTTTTGTTTTGCTCTAGCTTAATTAACGACAATTTTCAAGCCCCTTCACTAATCTCTATATCAAAATTAACCAAAATTTCTTCAGCGGCTTAGGCGTGGAAACGTAACAAACAGCAGCGGCCATTCTCGCATTCGGTGTTCTCAATCCAATCACCGTAGCTATTTCGGTGTTCTCAGCCTAATTACCGTAGCCATCGTTTTTTCCTCGCTTAATGTACCCATTAACATTGAAATGTGAACAATATCAAATTTAACTACCAATATGTCTAAATAGTATTAGAATAGACAAAGTAGTTTTCGAGTTATTGGGAAAAAAAATTATAGAAACGGTAATTAGATATATAGAAGGTAATCAGAAAGATCAAACATTTTTAAGAAAAACCGACTATTTCTGACACAGCTGAATCATTATTTGTATATTTTGCTACATTTCTAATGATACAAGTGACATTCAAGATTGTTTTTAAATAAATTGAAAGTAGCTTTTTCAATGTTTGGTTAGTGGTAATTATTAAAAATTAATACAATTCTTTCTTGTGATTAATGACAGCTGTTACAAGAACAGTGTAATAATTTACATTTTGATTATTTCTGCCGATAAAAATTCTTACAAGTTTAAAAAAATTTAAGTTAAGTTAAGAAGAATTATTAGAAAAAGTGAAGAAAATTAATATCAAAGTTATTTGCATGTTGTTAGTTCTTTATAATTTTTGTTTTATATTTTCTTAAAAATGTTTGAACTTTGTAATTACAGTATCCATTGCTACGGTAAATAGATCTAATTACCGTTTCCATAAAATATTTGTGTCTTAATAACTACAAAAAACAATGGCTACGGTAATTAAGCTGACGACACCGAATTGGCTACGGTAATTAGGCTGAGAACACCGAATGTGAGAATAGCCGATTTATAAAAATAATTTGGATTAAAATCGAAAAATCTGTAGTCACCGGTTAGACATTATTTAATAGTAAATTCATTCAGTAGGTTAGGTTAGTTAGGAAATTGCAGAAGCGAATTTGCTTGCGTTTCGGAACATTGTTTTATGTTTTTTAATGTTCATTTGTCTTATGTAATTTTGAAATTCAACATTAAACTATCAGAGTTAATTTCCGCAAATCAAACACAAGTATGGAAGGCATTAAAATATATTACAATGATTTAATTTATTTTACGTCTAAGAGAAAAAAATCAGTCACCAATATGATTTAATAGCAGTAGAGGTCCACGTGAAAGAGTTGGTCCAGGGAAGTACTGCCTACCTTACCTATTTCTACCGCCAAGCAGTAATGTCAGCATTGCTGTGTTCCGGTTTTGAAATGTAAGGGTGCTGGTGAAATTACAGGCACATGGGACTTGTCAACTTACGTCTCAGGGTGACGGGCGCAGTGGCAGTGCCCCACAGATCTGAGTGGCATTGCAATTGTTTTGGATATGCGTGTAGCATGCCATCAGGCGCACGACTTGTTCGTGCCGTCACTTGATACAAAAAGGCCGCTTTTTGTCTGCTGCTTTTGCAATAAAATGAACATTTAAATCATTGACTTACAAATAAATGGACGACGGGTCTAATACAAAAACCACGGAAAAATGTCCCAAGTCAACCTATTTAAACGTAGTGACATGTAAAAGAATATGAAAAAGCTAAAACGTTGAATTTAAATTGTAATGTCATCGCAGTACTGTCTAATTCTGCTTGCTTCGCTGTCAGTCGAACAAACGAAGACTAAAGCGTGAATGACGCTCTGTATACGATTTTAACGCCCTATAAATTCGGACACTTTTTAGCGCGGACCCGACGTCCATATAATTGTAAGTCAATGATTTAAATACATGCCATTACAATTGATCCTGTGAAAGTGCATTATGCTCTTAAAAATCTATAAAATTACAATGTAAAAAATGTTCATAATATTATTATTCAGGTATTATTAAAAAAAAAAAAAAAATTATATGGAGGCTGTCGCCGTTTAACTGTCGCATAAATATTAATTCCATACAGTGTATAAGAAAAATGCATACGTGTATGTTTTTTTGTAGAAAATGACCGCCCAATCTTGGACGATAATTTTGGAGATCGATTCAAGCAACCATTCAGCCCCATGTTCATGGATTATTGTGATCCACATCACTGCAATGGAGAGGGCAAATCTCGGTGTGGATTAAACAGAAACACAATGAGATTCAAATGGTTCCGCAATGCATGTAGTCTTTCACAGAATAACATATGCGCTAAGTATCTAGGAGAAATGAGTGAGTTAATTATTTACCATTTATACCATTATTTATTATTATCTCTCTATTAAATAAAAATGAAAGCCGTGGTGACGTGAGAGGACGTGGGTTCGAATATGAGCTGGCACTTCTCAGATTCTCGGAATTTGTGCGCGAAATTTAAGAGGAAGCAGAGGACAAAATTCCTAATTTTCGATTTGATTTTAGAGGGGTATATCCACTTTAAAGTTAAAAATAAAATATTGTATGAGTAACTACACGATATATTCAAGCACAGACACAAATCAGAAACATAAAACAATAAAGTTTCCTCGATAGATAAAAATCACGAAATGACCTCTAATTTTCACACTTTTCGATTCATCCTCGAAATGCTACAGGTTATCAGGACAAAAATTAGATAATTAATTATATTTATGCATGATCGAGAACTGTCACTACGGATTTTTTTTTAATCCCTTTAGTTTTAGAGTTATTCCGCTAAAACGAATTTGGTACTTTTAATGCGCAAAATTCAACATCTCCTGTCGCACGTCACGCGAATTTCAGGCATATATTTGTCTCACAAATGTGGGCGGAGCCAACGTCAAAACTTTTTTGGCATGCTCCCTCTTAAGAGTCTATACTACCCCAACTCGAATTCAATTTTTTCCCGTACTAGTACGTTTTACTTTACTTGGGTCGAACGACACGGGCACTGGCTTTATTTAAGAATGTATTTTTATACAAATGACACTAAAGCCGTTTGAAAAACGTAAGTCGTATACCGTTCGTGTTCTATTCAGTTCTGTTGATATGAAAATAATAATTGGTACATGTAACGTACCTAATGAATACAGCGGTTTTCTTGTAAAATTTTAAGGTAAATTTGTGTTTATCGAGTTCTTAGGTTTTCGCGATTGTTACACATAGGAAATGAAACTATTTTTCATAAATAGGGCTGAAGACTGGTTGAAGACTGTACCACCTCAGTCAACCGTGACCATGGGACCTGTAAAGGGCCCGAAAAGTCGGTTTGTTTGAAAAAACAAATATACGCGATTTAAATCCGGAAAAATAGTTTCATTTCCTATAAGTTTGTGCTTTTTTTTTCTATGGTGAAAATTTTTAGAAATCGTGTTTTTACACCATATAGTAATCTGTGTATATCCTCGATTATTTCGATATATTTTTTCCGAAGTGATTAATTCAACACGTTCAATGTTTGCAAAAATTTCAATGTGTGCCATTTGAGATAGACTCTTCATTTGAAATTTATCATGACATTTTCGTTGAAATGAAACATTTTCTAAATGTTCGATCTCTGTATTATTAATTATAACAAAACCAGTGGAGTATTTTACAAAAAAATGTTGAATATCATGATTGTGAAACATTCTGCCATCAAATTGTGGAACCAACTCCCGGCGCATGTATTCCCTCCCCTCTATAACATCGGGTCCTTCAAACGTAGTGTGAAGAAGCATTTGGCCAGACCGGCAAAATGATAGTGACGGAGTGAAGATATTTGTGTTTTCCATTCGTTACTCTCATCTCTGGACTGTATTCGCACTTTCCATCAGGCGCGGTGCAGTCATTTTGCCGAGTCACAATAAAAAAAAAATAAAAAAAATCTGACATTCAATAAAATATTTAATAAAACATCTTGTGGCGACTCCTGCATGTCAAAAACGGTTCACATCCCTCCAAAAACGTATGGCGTCCCCAGCCCACATTTGTTGGGCCAGCGTGGTGGACTATGACCTAAACCCTCGCCTGAGAGGAGACCAGTGCTCTACAGTGAAACGTATAAATGAGTAGATGATGACTATCTAGTCATCATCATCCTCTCTCATGACCTAAAAGACAAATTTTTAATATTATCTAAATGGAAAAGGCGGTTATTTTAAAGATGGAGTAAAATTACAGTTTATTGAGCAAAAGTGTTGCCCGCTTGCAAAAAAACAAGTTAGCCATTACAATCGATAAATTATTCTAACGACTTTTATCATCAACGGCCATCGAGCATATACCCAGAAATAGAGACGAAATGTCATTTAATTTGTTAAAAACTATTCTGCCAAATCCCAGCCCGAATTCGAAATGACCAGTTTAACTTGAGCTTTGCTAAAATTGAAAATTACATATTTAATATTTAGTTACCGATGAAATGTGATTCCGTTTGTTTTGTAATTAGATCTTTTGCTTCAGTTTCGCGTATCCTTATATGAATGGTCATGGCCAACGGTCAAAATAGGATCATAAAGAAGGCAACAACGCATTTAGTATTCATTAGAATATCCTATCTCTCCTACCACTCTTTCACTCTTTCACTGTCAAATATTGATTTGGCAGTGGAGGAGTGATTTGGTTGTGGATTAGTAAATTAGTAGGTAACTAAATTTATAAAAAAGGTGTAGCTGCAGTGTTTCATATAGTCAATAATTAACTATGTAGCAATATCTTATGGTTAATAATTTTCCAATGTTCTTAGTATAAACGGTAAATTTTTGTTTGCTTTTTTAAGTAATATCGTGCCATCTCATCCTTCAAAATGGTTCCAACTGAAAACCAGCGTTACAGCAATTGAGCTGTGACATATGCTGAGTTTGGATCCATTTCAGCTCGTAACTGTAACTCTTTGTATATTGGCAATGTGTGATGCTGGCTGAATAAACGTTTCTTTCTTTCTTTCTTTCTTTCTATCATTCACAATTCAGACAGTTTTGGCAAAATTATACTTTCTTTTACAATCTATCGATAAAACTGTCGACAACAACTACATGACTATTTAAATGAACACTGGTAACCCTGCAAATGTCATTTTACTCCGTCTTAAAAAAAGACATACTAGTTTATTGAATGTCATCCTCTTTGAATTCTTATTCTTATATAATCTGTAATTTCATAAAAAATAATTGAATATCATGGTATAAAACGTCGTGATAAATATGATATCGAGATAAGTACATTAAATTTAAAAATTACAATTATTAAATCGACATCTCTCGTCTGCTGCTGGTAGGTTAAAGGTACCTGGTTAAAGGCTGAGTGAAGAAATAGATTTCTCACAGATGGCGCGATATTGCAAAAAAGTAGTCAAAAACCTAAAAATAAAGTTTTGCAACGAGCAGTACTTATGATACTTCCATATTATTATAGTAACCACTTTGCCGGTGGAGAAGATTGCCATTGGGATTACGCCGCGGCCATCTTTGTATTCAACTTGCCATCGCGAATATCAGTCTACCCCTTCTAAACAAGACCAATGTATTATTCTTTACTTGTTGTTTCAGAGTACGACAGCGTTAATATAAAATTTTGCTTACAATACGTGGTGTTTGGCAGAACGTATGTCCCGTCAAATGAATGTCCAATGGAAGAAGATTGTGATGAAAACATAAATGCGAAGATTTGTGGCAAAAACACATACAACGGAGATCTAATGATCTTCTTGAATAAATGCTATTTTCGGGCTTACAATTGCAAACTAGAAAATTTCGAGGGTGAGAACATTTTGGCGTTTCTGTGCATACCTATTCTCCGCCATTTTAAAAGCCTTTTTTCAAAATGGTGGCCAGACGGTATTCCTTACGTTAAGGCTTAAAACTTTTTTTTCAAGTGAAGGTCGAACATATCGTGCACCTGATGGTAAGCTACACGCCTGTCCATAACAGTTGCAGTGCCACTCAGTGCTTTAAACGCAAAAATCTGAGGGCACTGCCACTGCGCTCGTCACCCTGAGACATAAGTTGACAAGTCCCATATGCCTGTAATTTCACCAGCGCCCTTAACCCTTCAAAACCGGAACACAGCAATGCTGACATCACTGCATGTATATAAAGGACATCTGCGATTCGTGAACACTCATCCTCAATATTTTAAAACACGTGGTGAAGTGATACAAAGCCAAACCAGAGCTAAAATTATGAATCTTTTATACCAACCTCGATGCCATAAATTAATTTATAAAAATAACTGCTTCAATATGTGCATAAAGATCTTCAATAGTTTACCGAATGAATTTAAACTACGACACGAACCTACGTTTAAATCACAATTGACAAAATGGCAGACACATTGCTTCTATAGTAATAAAGAATATTTAGAATTTACAAATACCAATTTATATTGGTTTGAAGTGCAATTAATTTTAGAGGTCTAAATATTTAATTCAATTAATATTAGCACACCTGCTTGCCAGGTTGAATACATTGTACCTATTTTTATTTTAGATCTGTATCATTGACTTACAATTATATGGACGTCGGGTCCGCGCTAAAAAGTGTCCGAACTTATAGGGCGTTAAAATCGTATACAGAGCGTCATTCACGCTTTAGTCTTCTATTGTTCGACAGTACTGCGATGACATTACAATTTAAATTCAACGTTTCAGCTTTTTCATATTCCTTTACATGTCACTACGTTTAAATAGGTTGACTTGGGACATTTTTTTCGTGGTTTTTGTATTAGACCCGTCGTCCATTTATTTGTAAGTCAATGATCTGTATAATTACTGTATTCTGGCAAATAAACGTTTTCTATTTGTATTTCTATTCCTGCTTGGCGGCAGAAATAGAAATATAAATAATTTCTGCCGCCAAGCAAGAATGTGAGCATTACCGCATTCGGGTTTTGAAGGGTGCTGGTGAAATTACAGGGACTTGTCAACTTATGTCTCAGGGTGACGGGCGTAGTGGCAACGTCCGTCAAATCTTTCTGATCTAAAGCACTGAGTGGCTGCAACGCTGCTGCGCACGAGTTGTTCGTCCCGTCACTAGAGCTACCTATTAATCTTAAAGTAATACATTACAGAGACCGAGATCACTCTCGAGAATATAAGGGTCGTATTCTAGAACTCTATTCGATGCTCAAGTTAGGATTGCACTGGAAATACAAGCACTGGAAATACGACCCTAATGGCAGGGACTTGAGTATGATTTCGAGGGCTTTAAACCATACTCAAATCCTGACTTGAGCATTGAGTAGAGTTCTAGAATACGACCCTAAGACTTGATAAGGACTTCTTTTGCTTTCAGCGTACATTGAGGTGGATTGGGACGAGTGCGAACCGATCGTGCCCTCACTTAATCATCATCATCCTGAGATTGAAGCTCTTTTAAACAATGAATACGAAATCATTTATTTGAAATAAACAACCAAACTATTTAGCAATGAAAATAATGGCTTGTATTTGGGACATACATATCCGGGGCATATTAGAGACTTGCATATTTAGGAAGTACTTATTTAACAAGAAAATTATTTATTTACTGTAAATAATGACCAGTATTTGGGGTTTACTTATTAAGGTCTACCATAATTGAAATTGTCTATATATATAACAAAAAAACTTGTGTAGTACTTCAAAATAGTGATCAGATTTGGGACTTACACATTTGGGACAAATTACTACCTCGTACATTTGGGACACATCATCAAGTAACAGACAAACTATTTAGTGATTCATAATGGCCAGTGTTTGAGACTTACATATTTAGGGCACATTAGTAATTACATATACACATATGGAGATGTCTGAATAAACGATGAAGTAAAGATGTTGAAAATAAAAATTCATGTCCTAATAATATATAAAGAGCCGTGGTAGCCTATGGTTGACCTACCGCCTCTCAACCCGAGGCTATTGTTTGGAATCCGGGGTTGCACCTCTAAGTGCAACATATAAATATTCCAAAAAGGAATTTAAGTGCAAAATTTAATTTGAAATTTACCATGACGTTTCCAACGCACTTATACACATACACAAATATTTAAGTAGTTTATTTTAAGTTCTTTTATTTCGCGACACACACGTCTGTCACTCATCTGGCTCAGGGCTCATTGAAAACCAGTGCCACAGTCAATTATGGCTGTGGCTTAACGACTGTGAACTGGCAATCGGTACTATCTCAATTTTGACAACTTAACAGATGAATAAAAAAATTGTTTGTGTCATTTATATAGCATCTGGTTTATTAAATAAAAATACGTAGTTTTCAGATATTTTTATTACACATGTATGTATGTATGTATGTACACTACATATTTTTATTTAACAAACTAAAAAGAAGAAAAATTTTTTCTTCACAGTCGTTATGCTGAATGAAGTCCTTTTGCGTACGCCACAACCGCACAAATGACAGCACAAAATTTGTAGTCGTTATATTTTGTTTTTTTGCCTTTTGTCAGTTTTGTCCTATTTTATGTTTTTTTTTTGTTTTATGGTATTATTTATTCTATTTATTAATTATTTTTATTTTGTTCTGCTTGTCTGTGTTATAATTTTTTTTATGTGTTGTGGCGTTGCAATAAATGTCTGTTCCGTTCCGTTCCGTTCCGTGCCAACTATACGTTTCGAAAGACCTATGTGAGTTCAGTTCGCCATTTTCGCTATGTATGGTATGGTTGTGTCATTCTTTCGTGCAAATTCTCTAAAATTCTAGAAAAATTGTGCTGTTTTTGAGTGCAAAAATGATAGCTGCACCAAAAATGTTACCCGTGGTGGTATTTTATATCACCGGAAAGCCTTATTTTAATAAATTTTCAATTTCCTGTTTATCGAAATAATTTTTGTTACAAGAAACGAGAGTAAAGCTTATTACATATATCCCTGCAATATGGTCGCTTCTTTATTGGAGAACTAAATTAATAATCCAATTCGTCGTCGTTCAGCAATTAACCGCTAGATGGGAGCACATTGATTGAAATTTCAATATAATATCAAAATGTCGTAACTTGCAATAATAGGTATTTATGATATTGAACTTTGGACGATATACCAAAATGGTAAAGTTTAAATTATATTAACAATCCAGAATTTATTTCTTTTTAAATTTGAAACTACGATCAATCAATTAAGAATGTGTGAGTTTTGGCGACATCGGTTCTGGTAGCAATCGAGGCTAAAGACATGTCCATTGTTTTTTATTCCGTGTTAAAACGAAAAGTCAATGTAAGGCTAAGGTTGAGAGGTTGTTTGATAAGCAATGACGTACAAGATTATTGGTGGTTAGTGATTCATATAAACATTGTTATAATAATTTAACCATTTTTTTAAGCGTTCCTCTTAACATGTCCGTGAGTGTAATTACCACTTATTTGTTTTTGGTTCAATGATTTTAATCAACGTCCAGTGTTGTTGTTCTTTTTCCAGTTTTAATATCAATGTAGATATTGGAAATTGTATTTTGTAATTCTGGTTTCTTTTTATACATAATTATGATAAAATTATTTACTATATTTCTTATTATTAGCGGTGAGTTACCCTGTTATTACTACTAAATAAGTAAATCGTGTCTTTGGTATATTTTTATTTATTCATTTATTTATCTTAAAGGAAGACCAACAGCTTAAAACTAACTTATATAGTAATATTAACAACTGAGAGCCAATAATGCACAATTTAACTAACATATTGCTATAAACATAACTTAATACGTAAACCATAAAACTAACTAAAACGCGGCTATGTGATAAAATATTCTTTTGGGATATCACAAATCAATATAACTAACACATCATGGCTGCATGCGCTTTTGCCTTTTACAACATTTTACTTCAAGTTGTAATCTAATAACTAAGGAAGAATATCGGGCCATCTGTTTATAAGAGAAAAAAAACAACAATGTTTTTATTTTTCCTGCATTATCTTTGTTACTATTTCCTCGCAAATATGATGAAAAACATTGTGTGTAACACGGGCGGAGGGAAGGAAATTACGAACCTCGACTCCGAAAGCCCTGTCTTCGGCTGCGGGCTTCTAATAGTCTCGTTTGTAATTCCTTATTTACCTCCCTTAATACACAATGTTCTATTTCAAATTAAACCTAAAACAAACTTTATTTTGGGAAAATAAGTTAATAATAAGTTCCCCGCTAAATGTGTGCTAAAGGCCGGTGTGTATTTGCAATATGGTTTTAAAACAAAAGAAGTGTTGACATGGATGAAGTATTTACAAAACATTGATTCACATGGTCACAGTCACAGTGTGAAATGACTATATGAAACAATATGTAATAGGAAAATTGTGGATCTAAAAGCAGCTTGTCGGTAAGTCTATTGTGTATTAGAAATTATTTAACTTTTAATTGATTTATTAGATATTACCCACCAGCAACCGTATTTATGCAAATCAAAACCACAACCCACTTTTAGAATATTGATATTGTTTAATGATATTTCAGCTATACATCATTAGAATAAGTTCCAATAAGACGAACAAGCTAACTAATTTTCACTGTTTTTAAAAGAGATTTTTTTATTCTATCTTTTCCTATTTACAACGGATATTTGAACATTTGCTTAGTCGCGTTTTAGTGGATTAACTAAAACGCTGTGTAGTGGACAACTCTGCCGTTGCAAGTCTCACTATAAGTCAAAGAAATGCCCAACCTCTCCTCGCCGAAATCGCACACGTATTGAAAAGATCCAGATCAAAGGAAAATACATAGAATGTTAAAATTATTGCTTGCATGGCGATATAAACTCATTTTGCCTATAATTAGTACGGGCCAGGGGTAGAACCAAAGGAGAATTGTTTCTCAAGGATTTACAATGAACTCTAAGTGATATTTGTGATTATAATTCCGGACAATCAATTGAACCTAATGCTATTTTTATTAAAAACATTACGTCACTAATTTGCAACGCAATTCAAGTGGTAAGAGATGATGCTTCTTACAGAGATTGAAATAATTGGCAGAAATGTAACAGTCCTCTGTACGATAGCACAGAAAACGCTAGATATAAATGTGGTAACGTGGAGTCCAAATGTGTAGAATTACTTCTATTTGTCAAGTTTTATTGACATCGGTTACCGGAAAGTGCGCTAAACCGGATTCATCGCCTAGTTTGCCAACCTTAGAGATGGAATATTATATATTTATTTATTTTTGGCATAGCTACAGAATACAAACTGTGAAGACGCTTAAAGTTAACATGCATTATAATAGGAGTAAATTTGTATTCCTATGACAGCCACGCACGGCATTTGCAAAATAAATAAGTACTTACAAATTAACAGGTTATTAAACATAATAAAAAAAAGTTAAAATTTGCACTTAAAAACAATAGCAAAAAATCATGTTACACGTATATAAAAACATGAGATTCTTAAATATCCAACATATTCAGCTTCTCCTTACAAATATTTAAATAAGTATAGCGACTATGGGAGAATAAGTCCAAATCTTTAGAAAAGTTGTTATGAGCTCTAAACATGCGGAAAATAGGATCATTATATGAGACATTGTTAGTGGTACATGGCAAAGAAAAAGTTATTTGGGTACGTTTACTGCCAATCTTAAACAAGGCGTGGCTTAAGATCTCACTTGAGTCCATTTCAAAGTTGATAATTTTAAACAGTGTGGAATAGTCCAGTATCACACGTCTGTTCTGAACAGGGCGTACCTTAAAATATTTGAGTCTTGCCTCGTAAGTATCCAATTTTCTACGCATTCCGAACCTAGAGCTCAAGTTCCGAAGAAACCGTCTTTGGACAGCTTCGATTCTTATATCCTCCAAAGGCCCTGTGTACATAAAAATGTACCATAAAATGTGAATGTGATCACGTGAACGCCCAGTGTACAGTATAATGAAAATACTGCATTCAGATTTAGCGCCACGTGACCATAACTCAATGGTATCTAGAAAAATACATTTTTCATACAAAACTATGGTCATACTTGCTTGGGCCTGAAGCATGTGATTAGATTTAATACGTTTTAAGGTACATTGGGCGTTTAGCGCGTATTCCATTGCAGTTTTCTGGGCCTTAAAAGGTTAAAGTTGGAATATTAATATTAAATTATTTTGTTCAATTCAAATTCAAATGGAGCCACTATTGATGTAACCTCTTTCCAAGAATCATCAAAATCGATTCACTAATGCCACAGTTATCGCGAACATACGTACAAGAAAAAAAACATACAGTCGAATTGAGAACCTGCTGCCTTTTTCGAAGTTGGTTAATAAATATACCAAAAATAAAATTTTTTGCGTTTTTTTACTATCTAACAGTTTTTAGATCTGCATTTGGAAATAAGATCCTCTCAGACGACTCCCGCGTTTTGCACAAAGTTGTCACCGCCTAGAACGATCTATTTAAATATTTTTATTTTTATATGAAAGTAGAATCTGACTAATTATTAAATGTCATGGGAAAAGTTATTGTTTACAATCACTGATAGGAATAGGTACAATTCTTTACCTTCGTGGTACAAAGACAGTAAGTGAAGACTACCTTATGACAACATCTTGTTGTCCCGAATCTTTTCGGTATTCTCCCGAATACTCACTTAGGTAAGGAATCACTTAGGTAAATTAAAAATGACGTTATTTGGGACAAGTAGGTAGACCATATTTGACTATCGACTGAATGTTGATCACGCTTATGGAACAAGTAGCTGAACTCAACTCTCGACCCATTTTTCATCCAATTTCTGAGCTCTAGATCATTTGAACTGAAATTTCCTCCGTGGTCGAACGGTTACGATGCCGGGAGAAATATTTGCAGAGTTGAGGCTTCATATTCGAATGCACCGATTGCTGTTGCCATCGCGCGTGATGCACCGCACTCCGCTGTCCGCTCTTCCGCCCCGGCGGAAACGTCACGCGTATGCACGTCCACACGCGTGTACACACTACACATGCGTACACCGCTGTAGCCGCTTCAAGTACCCGACCCGCCACTTTGAAACACGTGCGGCGGCTAACTGCTAAGGGAAAATTAATCCCCGTGTGCCTGACTCTGTTGCCGGACCGGTGCGATAAGGACGGCTTCACAAAAGTGGAGAAGACGAAGAGAGAACACTGGTCACGCACAGGCACATCACCAACAGGACCGAACTGCTGCTGTACCTGTCGCGGCTGCATTGCTCTACGAAGTCTGAGGAGATAGTGGAGTACATCAGACATACAGCCAAATACACCCTGAGGGTCGAGCGGTTGGAGCCCCACAACATGAATTTCAATTCGTTTGTGGTAAGAGTACCGACCGAACATCTGTCGACCTTCATGAAGGAAGAATTTTGGCGAAGGGTGTCTTATATCAGCGGTTCCGCGGCCGGTTACCAGACACCAGATTGTGCCACACTTCGCCGACAAGTGCAATTCGTGTAGATTAGTGAGAAATCGTTTTTTATTATATTGTATGCGTTGACTTACAATTATATGAACGTCGGGTCTGCGCTAAAAAGTGTCCGAACTTATAGGGCGTTACAATCGTATACAGAGCGTCATTCACGCTTTAGTCTTCGTTTGTTCGACTGACAGCGAAGCAAGCAAAATTAGACAGTACTGCGATGACATTACAATTTAAATTCAACGTTTTAGCTTTTTCCTATTCCTTTACATGTCACTACGTTTAAATAGGTTGACTTGGGACATTTTTTCGTGGTTTTTGTATTAGACCCGTCGTCCATTTATTTGTAAGTCAATGATTGTATGCATAGTATTCCTTAAGGTATATATTATGTGGGGTCATGTGGCATGAACTAAAAAATAAAATAAATAAATAAATATTTTATAAGCTTATTGAAATATACTTAGTTATTGTAATAGACTACATCGTTGATATTCTTAGGCAATACACTTGGCAGACGTAAGACCTAGCTACCCATAGTACAGAGGATCCTAGTTTGGTAGCTAGGTACATCACTGTACCTATTTTTGTGTGTTTTGCAATAAAGATATTATTATTGTGACTTCGGTAAACAGTTGATAGTTTTTCAGTGATCGCGACAGGAGCGCGCCGCGAAGAGAAAATCACTTTACCAATTCAAGACAGAATAAACCTTTTGAAATATGAAATAAGTGAACAGGTCAAGGCGGTTAAGAAGAAACGTAACCCTATGCGGTTATTAAACGAGGACGTAAGTTTCTTATGCATTATTTATTTCCAACTTTTTTTTATAATATCAAGTGACGAGACGAACAAGTCTTGCGCCTGATGGTACGCAACACGCCTGTCCATGACAGTTGCAGTGCCACACAGCTTTAAATCACAAAGATCTGAGGGGCACTGGCACTGCGCTCGTCACCCTAAGACACAAGTTAACAAGTCCCATGTGCCTATAATTTCATTCTCCTTCAAAACCGGAACACAGTAATGATGACATTACTGCCTGGCGGCGGAAATAGGTAAGGTGGTACTTCCCTGGACGAATACTTTCACAAGGAGCTCTACTGCTACTAACTGCACCACCTCCAAAGAACTTTTTTTAAAATTTATTTATCCTTCCAATGACTTTTTACAAATAAGGTAAGATTCTCCAAAACTTAATAAAAGTTTATCGGGAAAGTTTGGTTGCTACGCTTAATATTACGGTCAAATAAAAATTTCAATATTTACCTACATTGTATCTAACAAATATTTTTTTCATTTCATTTTTAACAGACTTTTCTCTATCTTTAAGGTTTTTTAAGTGTGACGAAAGACAGTTAAACAATGCTGGAATTAAATAGTTCTTAGTTCTTTTACCTTAAACGTTGTTTGTTTTAAAAGTTTTAAAATTTCATATCTGCCCATCGTTGCTTGTCGGATAATTACAATTTTTAGGTACTTTACAATCACGACTTAAATATTCTTGTAATATTTGAGAAAATAAAACAAAATAAGAAAAAACTTCTTAAACAGGAAGTATCTTATATATTATTCTAAATAACATGTCATAATTTTTTCGTTCCTTTACACTCTACGCACCTTCTTAGCAGCTAACAGCGAACTGTAAAGCGGATTCTTTGACGTTTGTATTAAGACGCTGAATACCGCTTACGCTTCACTTTAAAGAAAGCAAGATCTGTTCAACTTGTGGCAGTGGAAAAAATGTGTATTATTCTTCATCATTTATTATCTAAAATATCGTTGTTTCCAAAACACGATTTTACAATACGTTCTTGACAAAAAAAATTCAAAGTTACCTCTTATTCTACGCTTTCATTGCACTTATATCCGTAATATACCAAGTAAAATTGATAACACTTTGAAGAATAAGGTATTATCCAATAATGTAAACCGTGGTTGTTTTGTTTTTCCAAGGTTTTTCATTTTTAAACTAATTTTGGAAATAAACCGTTTTTTGAGACGCACGGAAACTGTTGGTAGTTTCTTCTCTTTTACACATACGAAAGTCGGCAGTGATGGCTGATGGTTACCGGACACACACGTTGCGTTACACGTAGCAGTCCATACGTGTAAACAAATAAATGGTGTTTTATTATTATTATTATTATGTATGTTAGTCTATAAGGTGTGTATTTCTGGGTCTTCATAATTAAGTAATTATAACGAAAATTTAATTTCAAAGTCGTTAAAACTTAAAATCATACTGTTTATAAAACACTGACGACTCTTTACGTTTTCGTAAAATTTAATATAATTATGTAGTGGTTGTCGATATTTTCATCGATAGATTGTGGAAATAGATAAAATTTTATCAATTTCTTAGGTTTTCGCGATTGTTACAAATAGGAAATGAAACTATTTTTCCAGATTTAAATCGCGTAGATTTGTTTTTTCAAACAAACCGACGTGTGCCGACACCCTTTACAGGTCCCATGGTCACGATTGAAAAAGATAAAATTTTACCAAAAAGGAATTAATTGGGAATGTTACGACATTCTAATAATTACTAATTGCGATACTGCCTTCTTTATTTTTATTTTGACAGTTGACCTACTAGAATCGAAAAAATTTTTTTTGTCACATGCAGTTTAACAAGAATTGAAAAAGAGATTTTATCGTATATATTGAATTAAAATGAATAACTTTAAAACATGTTTCTTCTTTGTATATTTCATAAACATAGTTCTTAATATATGAAATGAACTTGTACTCAGTAATTGCTGAATAATGGGTTGAGGAAGATTCAAATGAAGCAAATTCGGCTGTTTGTTCCTGCATGACCTATTGGTCCACAGTCGATATAATATTTATCGACTGCAATCACTAGCTGTTCACAAGCGGGCAACACCTTTGCGAAATGAACTTTCTTTTTTTTAAACCGACTTCAAAAAAGGAGGAGGTTCTCAATTCGACTGTATGTTCTTTTTTTTTCTTTTTTTTTGTATGTATGTTACGCGATAACTCCGGTATTTGTGAACCGATTTTCATGATTCTTTTTTTGTTGGAAAGGGGGTATTTCCATAGTGGTCCCATTTCATTTTGAAGAAAATCATCCACCTCAAAGAGTGGCTGTTCACGCATGAAGATTCATTTTTATAAATAGCGCCTAACTTTAAATTAGGAGCAATTACTTTTAGCAATTATTTAGTTGATATTGCTATTTATCCAATTCAAGGCGTTTTTCCCTCGATATACTTTGAGTAGTGTCGTAGTGAGAACCTATTTTTATTATCTCCAGTATCAAGTCCTGTATAGTGGCGAACTAGGGGGTATTTCAATGAAACTTATCAAATAGACGTAATTCCATGTACTTTTGATGTCGGTTTTTTTAGTACTCTGTACTGAGATTATTCTGTCTTAAAAAGAGACATACTATATTTTATTATAATGAGCCTCTTACATTGTTTTTAGTCTCAATTACATCCGTTTGTTATGAGAGCGTCAGATGTAAAGAAACCTCTGAACCTGGAGAACTATGATTACGTGAATCTGGATGACCAAGCTATCACACCTATTATGGACTTCGATCATCGCAAGAAGGATCATCAGTGAGTCACTGTCATCATTGTTAATGGTCAAAGTCAAGTCAAATGATTAAGGTACTGCTCGTTCACTACGCTGACCTCCCTGAGAAGAACGAGCAAGAAATTCTAGAGATTGCTCTTTTCAAATAAACTTATTGAATCATATTTGTGTAGAATCTAGAGTCATGTTGTCTTTCCATGCATCTTTATCTAACACGTAACAATTTTGGAATAAAACTTTTCATTTAAAATACTTTTAATATAAGTTTTGAACTTAGGAAATGGCAATCTTAATATATGCTCCAGAATCTTATTGCAAACATAAAAGAATCATTTACCTTAGTTAAACGAAAACGGCGTACCATGAGTTTGGACTTAGTTCGAAGGTTAATATCATGGATATCTTCTTTCTTAGCGAAATTAAGTGTATTTTTTTAAATGTACTGTGATCCCACAGCAGCGAAGCGTCCATATAACTCGATTCCACCGGCTTGCCTAGAATTTCTTATTATAGTCAAATTTGGCACTTGTCATCGTGACGCGAATAGGGATGTGGACTAATCATATCGGTAATCACGTAAAACGATTTTCAAGAGAAATCGAATCAAAATTTTAACAGTTTGTGATTGTTTAGATTATTTTTCGGTTCATTGTTGTTCAGGCCAAATCGTGCAATTCCGTTAAAAACAATTCATATACAGAATTCCTTGCAATTCTGTGGCAATTCCTCTTATTTTCGTAAAATTGTCCCACATTACAAAACAACTACATAAAAAGATTAAATTGTATTATATAATTGCGGAGTAATGCGGCTGCATTACTCCACGAAGTCTGAGGAGATAGTGGAGTATATCAGGCATAAAACCAAATACACCCTGAGGGTCGAGCGGTTGGAGTCTCGCCGCAACGTGAACTTCAATTCGTTTGTGGTGAGAATACCGACCGAACATCTTTCGACCTTCATGAAAGAGGAATTTTGGCCGAAGGGTGACATATATCGGCGATTCCGCGGCCGGTTACCTGACACCAGATTGCGCCACACGTCGCCGATAAGGGAAATCGTGTAGATTAGTTTTTATTATTATATTGTATGTATGTTTGTTTTAAGGTATATATAATATAGGTGTATTTTGTTTTTATATTGTTATTGTTATATTATATGTATGTTAGTCTGTAAGGTATGTATCTATGGGTCCTAGTTGCCTGAAATAAATAAATAAATAAATAAATAAAAAATAATATTTTCTTCCAGCTTCCACCTCCGTGAACTCAAAACAACAACGACAAAATCTCCACGTCCGATACACTACACGCCACATTACTATAAGCCCCGAGTCATAAAAGCATCTTTCCAAAGGCCCCCACCCTTGCGCAGCTTCAAATTCAACACAACCAAGAACAAGTACAGCGGACCACAAGAAAAGCCAGTCGATGATTTCTATAGACGGCAGGTCGATCCTACATTCTACTATACGCCGATGAAATGGGTGAGTTGATTCCTACCTGCCTGCTAATTTTTTGAAACCACTGGTCATTGTTGTACAGATCGCGACATTTAACTTGAATGAAATCGTGGCAGTAAATAAATAAATATTAGACAACAACACACATACGTTGCTCTGATCCCTCTTTACTGCCTTCGTAGCCGAACGGTTACCATGCCATGCAGAGATCCTGCGTTCGATTCCCAGGCCGGGAGAAAATATGTGTACGGCCTACATTTATTTCTCTCGTAAGTTTGGGTGTAATTTGTGGTTGTCTATGTGTGTGTCCAAGGCACCCGCGACGTGGTCTGTGCCCGCGACACAGGCTTTACATAGTGCGGGGCTATGTTGAGTGTGTGCGTTATTTTTATTATTATCCCAAAGTAAGTAGCTAAAGCACTTGCGTTATGGATATCGGAAACATCGATACAAACACCCAAACCCGAGACAATATAGAAAAGTTAGTTTCTACACTGACCCGGCCGGGGATCGAACACGGGACCTCAGAGATGGCGACTCGTAAGTACTCGACGACGTAAGTACTCGATACATTTAATTCGATACCGAGTACTTTTAATATCGAACCCCTTAATTCGATTTTTATTGACTATCGGAAGAAAAATACATCACCTTTTTTCCAAATTATTTTTCTTTTCCATCTTCGCCGTTTTCCAGCAAACAAACGCAAACCGCGAAGTACCAGAGTAAAAAAAATGTATGTCATCATCATCATCATTCATTCACAGATCATTTTTGAATAAATGGTAGTACATTACATACATCTCAGCGAATGAGCGAAGTGCACAAAGAGGAATGGCGGGTTCTTATGTAGTTTTGTGGGTTTTCATATGACAGTTTTTATATGAATTAGTGTTTAGATTACGTATTATTACGACAAATTCGAAATAATATTTACATATATCGAGTTCTTAGATTTTCGCGATTGTTACACATAGGAAATGAAACTATTTTTCCGGATTTAAATCGCGTATATTTGTTTTTTTCAACCAAACCAGTCAACCGTGACCATGGGAAACGTCGGTTTGTTTGAAAAAACAAATATACGCAATTTAAATCCGGAAAACTAATTTCATTTCCAATATTTACATATAATAAATAAAATTTTAAATAGTCATGTAGTTCTTGTCGACAGTTTTATCGATAAATATTGAAATAAGGTAAAATTGTATCAAAACTGTCTAAATTTTAAATGATATGACGTTCTAATGATTGCTTATTGCGTTATTTATTGCCTTCTTTACTCATATAGAGATCAATTTTTTATTCATATACATTTTTAAAAATTAAAATGGAAATCTTAAAAATACGTCTCCTCTTAGTGGTCTGAATTAAATGACTTAATAAAAAATAAATAAAATATAACTCATCTGGTCCTATACTCTCGTTCTAAATCCGATGTCTGTCCGAAATAATTTCTGTCAAATAATAATACTCGACAAATTAAAAACGCATGATGCTAATGAAACTTCATTAAATTTAATAGGGTATTGTTTTGTGAAATTACTCCGCTAGTTTGTTATGTTATAATTATTAATTCTCGATTTTTAGAAAAAAATTCACTTCGGTGGATCTGCGATTCGAACCGACGTCTTCTAGCAAACCGTGTCAGACGCTATGCCAACTAAGCCACGGAACGAACCAGTGGACCTCACGAATTTTTCCATGTGCTTGTTTGTCGGATCTTTGTATTTGGTTTTCAACGACTTTTTAAGCATTTTGTCACCCGGTTAGGTAACTTTACAGCTGCCAGCCCTGACTAGAGATGTCGCTATTAACTTTAATTACATGGTCGCGGTCGAATATAGAATAGAAAGTTCTTTATTGTTTTTCATTTTTGTTACAGTTTTTGTCCGTAAAAGGGTGTGTACGTAATGCAATGTGTCTTAAAGATCTATACATTTATTTTATGTCGTGTAGCTAGTTTATAGCTCACAGAAAAGGTCGCGGTCGAGACGGCGGGGCCTTGGGGTTCGGAAGCTCGGGACCTATTTAAAGAGTAGGGTCGCCGACTCAGAGACAGGGGCTGCGATCACCGCTCTGGGTCGTGGTTGGTTCAGCAGGTGTCCATTGCTGTCCAGCGAGGCAATGCTGCCAGTATAATGGGAACTTTTGCCCCGGGCACGATACAGGGCGGGATTTCTTTTTAAATTAAATATATTTCACGTGAATCTCACTTTTTTTGTATTAGATTACCTATTGACGAAGCCTTGTGCTGATCTTTAGGTTATACATTTTATTATTGTTCATAAATGCATTTTGTAAATTTTGGAATAAATGAATATGTAACTTAAAAAAAAAAATTACATTTGTATTGAGTTGTTATTCAAATATTTTAAGCGACTTCAAAAAAAGGAGGAATTCTCAATTCGACTGTATTTTTTGTATGTATGTTACGCGATAACTCCGATATTTGTGAACCGATTTTGATGATTCTTTTTTGTTGGAAAGAGGATACCTCAGATGTGGTCCCCTTTAAATTTGAAGAAAATATTCCACCTTTAAGGGTGGCAAACTAGGGGATGAATGACTTTTGAGGTCGATTGTTTTAGTACGCTGTACTGAGATTATTTTGAGTATTACTTATTTGACAACATTGACTTACAAATAAATGGACGACGGGTCTAATACAAAAACCACGAAAAAAATGTCCCAAGTCAACCTATTCGAAATTTAAATTGTTATGTCATCGCAGTATCGCGCTGTCCGTAGAACAAATGAAGACTAAAGCGGAGTGTCGCGCTCTGTATACGATTTTAGCGCCTTAAAAGTGCGGACACTTTTTAGCGCGGACCCGACGTCCATATAATTGTAAGTCAATGTTTGACAATAGTTGTTTTGGACAGATGTCAGACGGAGAACAAGATTAAACCCCCTCGTACCTCGTACACAGTTTCATTCACCTATTTTTTTTTTTATATCATATAGCTCCACTGTGAAGATCTCATAACCCCTCTGATTACGGGCTTGAAGACTGAATGTGTTGCGCCTAAATTTTATGAATCAAACAATCGAATAGTAACCAGGTATGTGCTAAAGTTTTTGCAGCTTCAAGTTTTTACCCCGTCAGGGCTCCGTCACTCGCTCAAGGTTCACAAGCGCTCATACAAGTCTTTCATTTATGGGTATTCGGTTCCGCACGACTGCACTCGGCGGGCAACAACAAAAAAGTTATTTTCACCTCTCTAAGCGCGTGCTTAGGTTACTTTTTCCTCGTAGTAAGCGCCTACCTAAACTACCTTATTTTCACTACAGCCCTCGTAGCATGGCTATGCATGATAGTCGCGACACGCGCGGTAAAATTAAAATAAGCTAGCGCTATTGGCTATCTAAATTAGATAACCAATAGCACTCACTCAACACATAAGCACCACATACACACCCACGCTTTATGCACTTAATAATCTCGTATATTTTTTTTATTTCTTTACACGTGTAATCATTTGGGAAAATTGGGAAATTTCTGTAAAAATAATAATTTAAAACTTCTTTTTCAAGATATGTATTGTGGAAGGAAAAAACTTTAACGGAAATTGTTGGTTTTCACATGTCGCGACACGTATAATTAATAAAGTATTCTGTAATTTGTATTTCAAATACACCTCAAGAAAGTATTTGGTATTTCGTATTTTAAATACATAATATAGGGAAGTAATTTGTATTTCAATTAAGACATAGCATGCATTTTGCCCAGCCCTGGATCCAAGTTGTTTGTACTCCCAAAAATAAAATAAATAAATTCTGAAACCTATAATGTTTTATTAATTTACTTTCAGATTGATACAATTACTTACAATTAACACGACTAGCTCCACGAAGGAAGAAATCTTTGACTTATTACTACAAGTAAGCAACATACAAATCAGATTTTTTCAATGGAATTCTCAGCCAATGAGGATTTTACTCGACACTATAACGGGCTGTAAGTACCTAGTAATGATAAATATTTAACTGCGTAGTCGATGCTCTAAGATACTCTTAGATCCTAAAACTTCTTCCACTGACATGATGGTGGTGACTGTGGACCCGTCGGCAATTGAGCCACAGGCACCAAATCCGGCTCGAAGGACCATAATGTACTCTTGCATCCTTTTTGTATAATAATAATAAATATGTTTTATTTTCTCTTACATCCATTGACTTACAAATAAATGGACGACGGGTCTAATACAAAAACCACGAAAAAAATGTCCCAAGTCAACCTATTTAAACGTAGTGACATGTAAAGGAATATGAAAAAGCTAAAACGTTGAATTTAAATTGTAATGTCATCGCAGTATCGCGCTGTCAGTCGAACAAATGAAGACTAAAGCGGAGTTTGACGCTCTGTATACGATTTTAACGGCCTACAAGTTCGGACACTTTTTAGCGCGGACCCGACGTCCATATAATTGTAAGTCAATGCTTACATCAGATAGATACGTAGTAACAGTATAGAGTTTCAATATTCAATTTTGTGAGAGACATTAGCCTAAACTAGGATACCCTGTGTCTTAGATCTCCTGGTTCCCCCCTCTTGATGGTACAGTTTATTTACTCTACTTAAAGTGTAGTTAAATTACATTACATTAAACCACATCTCATCAATAACGTAAGTGTACGCTACGCGATAACTCTGGTATTTGTGCACCGATTTTCATGATTCTTTTTTTGTTGGAAAGAGGGTACCTCAGTAGTAATCCACCTTTAAGGGTAACTAAGGGATGAATCCGATTTCGCGCACTTTCCGGTAACCGACTAACTTGGCAAATAGATGTAATTCCGCGCACTTTTGAGGTCGGTGTTTGTAGTACTCGGTACTGAGATTATCGTATTTTTAGTGTTATTGTGAATGGACATAATAATAAAAAAAGATAAATAACTTACTCCAGTACTCCAAACAGTCCTTTTATTTTAAGCTTCCAGTTCGAACCTTTAAAACGATGAGAGACTTAATAATAGCCAGCAAGTATTTTCTATAACCGAAAAAATCAAGCGCCCACGGTGACAGCTCTACTCAAGGATATTCCTTATTTAATTTTTTTTTATTAAGAGGTTTTGCTTGGATACAAGTCCTTTGAGCCATGTCTTCGTTTAATTATCGGGATCCTCATTAAATATTTTCCATTGTGGTTCTACAACATTATGTTTTTACTTTCTCTTAAATAACTTAGTTCTCTTGTTTGCGCTTTCTAAATGATATTTTAAGCGGTGGAGTCAATATTTATGTTTTCACTTCCACTTAGATCACGCTATAGCCTTTGAATTAGTAATTATTGTTCTGGATGAACTATTTTGTAATTTAGTTTAAAATAAGGAACATCGTTCTAACTTTCTTCATCATTATTTCTTTCATCGTATTTTCTTCATAACATACTTTATAATAAAATTAATCTTTGTAAAAACTGGGTATTCGTAACTTCGAAATCCCGCCATTTTTTTCTCACTTCTTTGTGTCTTTTTTAAGTCTCTCACTCGTTCAGAAATTTTTCTCTGAATCAATAAGGGGTGTGTGTGTGTGTGTGTGTGTGTGTGTGTGTGTGTGTGTGTGTGTG